TGATCAGGGTGGTGGTTGCTGAAGACTGTGTGGCTGTGGCAGTTTCTTTAAAGGAGACAACAGTAAAGTTTGCCACATAGATTGACTCTTCCTTTCATGAACAATTTCTCTGTAGAATGCAATGCTATTTGATAGGAGTTTACTCACAGTGGAACTTCTTTCATAATCGGAGTCAATCCTCCCACAGTCTGACTCTGCTTTATCAACTAAGTTTATGTCATAGTCTTTTGTTGTCATGTCAGTAGTCTTCATAGCATCTTCACCAGGAGCAGATTTGTCTCAAGAATTTCTTTGTTCATCCATGGGAAGCAACTTCTCATCCATTAAAGTTTTATATTTATAACAAATACAATGAAGAAGTATGAAATATTATAAGAGTTACCAAAATGTGACACAGAGACACAAAGTGAGCAAATACTTATTGGAAAAATGATGCCTGTAGACTTGCTTGACGTGGGGTTGCCACAAACCTGCAGTTTGTAAACACCAGCATAGCCATATTATTCATTTCAGTAAAGCCTTTTAAAAAATCTTCATTTATATCAAATCATCGAGTTTCACTAAAATCTATGAGATTGTCACTGGACTACTGTGTAAATACAGTAGATGCTAAAGAAGAAGCCACTATGATGCCATCCTTTTCTAGCTGGGGTGATGAGACAGTTACCTGCATGAAACAACCTAGTTTAAGATAGAAGGTAAATAAGTACAACCTGGATGGCAAAGGTAACAAGAGCTATAGAATGGTAAGTGATGAAGGAAGGTATAGGAGATGGGAGAATGCAATTTGCCAATTAACATATGTCTGACCATGGTTAACTTCTCAGTGGTACCTGGGTTCTTATTTTAAAATTTACTCACTTAAAACACCTAGCACAATCTAAGGAGGTAGGCGTGAATGGAGTTTTAACAAATGGGCAGGCTATTATTAATGGAATATGATTCCATTGATAGGAATAAAGCTAGCTAGAGACAGGGATGTTTCAAGTAGTAGAGATATAAATTAAAAAAAAATTTGATATGTACCATGCACCCCAATGGTCAGAGCTGCAGCATTTATTAATAGAAGAGGAAAGAGGTGAGAGACAGATAATTAGTTTGGGAAAAGTGAATCCTGTTGCACTTTTTTTTTCCCTCCCAATGGGTAACTGATTAGCTGGCAGCAGTCAGTCTGGCAGTCTGTCCTTGGGTATCTTGTTTACGTAATCTCTGGAAAACCTTTGTGAGCCAAACTGTGAAGCTGAAGGACAGGCTGTTTCTCTGTAATGTCCGCCTGTATCTAGTACCTCCCTTATTAGCTGTGCCAGGCCTGCACTTCTTCCCTCACAGAAATGTCAATATAACTGCTGACTTTCTTGAAATCCTTTCCCTTCAAATCTTTACTTCTCACTGGAATCTCTTCTGCACCCTTATTTGAAAGTGATCATAATCTGAGGTTGTAGTGGAATTTCTATCACAAGTTATAATCACTTTTCGAATATGAATTTAAGATGTTAAACAAAAATACGCAAAATTCAAGTTTTCTTTTTTTGTTGAACTTCAACCAACAAAACAGATAGTAGTGACATCATTATCAAATGAGTTGTATGAGTTCATTCTGACCCCCAGAAATTTTTTTCTTAAATATTTTAACATTAACTTTTAAAATGTTACTTAAAATATTTTAATTAAGGCAATAACTCTGGTTCCTGCAAACAGTTGATCATGGCTTGCATCCTTCAGTGAATTATCACAGAAGAAAATTTTGGCAAATTTATTGGCTTCATGCCCACAGGCATTGTGAAGCAGAAACTCTTTTCACATTAAGATCACAACTCTATGATAAGCAATATATAATATGTAAACTCCAGTAATGCTGAAGAAGCTGAAGTTGAATGGCTCTACGAAGACCTACAGGGCCTTGTAGAACTAACACCCAAAACATATGTCCTTTTCATTATAGGGGACTGGAATGCAAAAGTAGGAAGTCAAGAGATACTTGGAGTAACAGGCAAATTTGGCCCTGGAGTACAAAATGAAGCAGGGCATAGACTAACAGTTTTTCCAAGAGAATGCACTGGTCATAGCAAATACCCTCTTCCAACAACACAAGGAAAGACTCTACACATGGACATCACCAGATGGTCAATACCAAAATAAAACTGATTATATTCTTTGCAGCCAGAGATGGAAAAGCTCTATACAGTCAGCAAACACAAAACTGGGAGCTGACTGTGGCTCAGATCATGAACTCCTTATTGCCAAATTCAGAATTAAATTGAAGAAAGTAGAGAAGACCACTAAACTATTCAGGTATGACCAAATCAAATCCCTTACAATTATACAGTGGAAGTGACAAATATATTTAAGGGATTAGATCTGATAGAGTGCCTGAAGAACTATGGATGGAGGTTTGTGACATCGTACAGGGGACAGGGATCAAGACCATCCCCAAGAAAAAGAAATGCAAAAAGGCAAAATGGTTGTCTGATGAAGCCTTACAAATAGCTGTGAAAAGAGAAGTGAAAGGCAAAGAAAAAAAGGAAAGATACACCCATTTTGAATGCAGAGTTCCAAAGAATAGCAAAGAGAGATAAACCCTTCTTCAGTGATCAATGCAAAGAAATATAGGAAAACAATAGAATACAAAGATTAGAGATCTCTTCAAGGAAATTAGAGATATCAAGGGAACATTTCATGCAAAGATGGGCACAATAAAGGACAGAAATGGTAGGGACCTAACAGAAGCAGAAGATATTAAGAAGAGGTGGCAAGAATATACAGTAGAATTGTACAAAAAGGATCTTCATGACCCAGATAACCACAATGGTGTGATCACTCACCTAGAGCCAGACATCCTGGAATGTGAAGTCAAATGGGCCTTAGGAAGCATCACTGTGAACAAAACCAGTGGAGGTGATAGAATTCCAGTTGAGCTCTTTCAAATCCTGAAAGATGATGCTGTGAAAGTGCTGCACTCAATATGCCAGCAAATTTGGAAAACTCAGCAGTGGCCACAGGACTGGAAAAGGTCAGTTTTCATTCCAGTCCCAAAGAAAGGCAATCCCAAAGAATGTTCAAACTACTGCACAATTGCATTCATCTCACACGCTAGTAAAGTAATGCTCAAAATTCTCCAAGCCAAGCTTCGCAATATGTGAACCATGAACTTCCAGATGTTCAAGCTGGATTTAGAAAAGGTAGAGGAACCAGAGATCAAATTGCCAACATCCGTTGGATCATCAAAAAAGCAAGAGTTCCAGAAAAACATCTATTTCTGCTTTATCGACTATGCCAAAGCCTTTGACTGTGTGGATTACAACAAACTGTGGAAAATTGTTCAAGAGATGGGACTACCAGACCATCTTATCTGCCTCCTGAGAAATCTGTATGCAGGTCAGGAAGCAACAGTTAGAACTGGACATGGAACAACAGACTGGTTCCAAATAGGAAAAGGAGTATGTCAAGGTTGTATATTGTCACCCTGCTTATTTAACTTCTATGCTGAGTACCTCATGAGAAATGCTGGGCTGGATGAAGCATAAGCTTGAATCAAGATTGCTGGGAGAAGTATCAATAACCTCAGATAAGCAGATGACATCACCCTTATGGCAGAAAGGAAAGAAGAACTAAAGAGCCTCTTGATGAAAGTGAAAGAGAGTGCAAAAGTTGGCTTAAAGCTCAACATTCAGAAAACTAAGATCATGGCATCTGGTCCCATCACTTCATGGCAAATAGATGGGGAAACAATGGAAACAGTGACAGACTTTATTTTTGGGGGCTCCAAAATCACTGCAGATGGTGACTGCAGCCATGAAATTAAAAGACGCTTGCTCCTTGGAAGAAAAGTTGTGACCAACCTAGACAGCATATTAAAAAGCAGAGACATTACTTTGTTGACAAATGTCCATCTAGTCAAAGCTATGGTTCTTCCAGCAGTCATTATGGATGTGAGTGTTGGACCATAAAGAAAGCTGAGTGCCAGAAGAATTGATACTTTTGAACTGTGGTGTTGGAGAAGACTCTTGAGAGTCCCTTGGACTGCAAGGAGATCGAATCAGCCAATCCTAAATGAAATCAGTCCTAATATTCATTGGAAGGACTGATGCTGAAGCTGAAACTCCAATGCTTTGGCCACCTGATCAAAGAACGGACTCATCGGAAAAGACCCTGATGCTGGGCAAGGTTGAGGGCAGGAGGAGAAGGGGACAACAGAGGATGAGATGGTTGGATGGCATTACAAGCTTGATGGACATGAGTCTGAGTAAGCTCCAGGAGTTGGTGATGGACAGGGAAGCCTGGCGGACTACAGTCCATGGGGTCCCAAAGAGTCGGACAGGACTGAGTCACTGAACTGAACTGATTGAACTGAATAAGTTAACTTTTAGAAATTAAAACCCCCTTTGATTACTTGTCTCCCAGTAATGCTCAAAGGCTGAATTTGCTCTCTTACACGTGTGTGGGTCACTTCTAAGTAGGGAGGAATATATTTTGTTACTTACATCAGTTAGAGGTAAGAGAAAATATTGTCCAATTGCTTCAGAGGTTTTTGCCAAATTACATAACTTTGAAATCTGTAAGGCAAACTGGAATAATCTTTTATTATGTCTTTTTAGCATGAGAGGAATTTTCCTTTTTAGATGCTCAGAATTTTAAAAAATCATCTCAAGTATTTTAAAAGAGCAGTTTAGGAACCATAGAAGTCTTAGAAATCCACATGAACACAGTTCTCAGTTGCCTGAGTTTGTCTACGTTCATTTCTGTAAGCCAACTCTTTTCCAGACTAATAAAATTCATAATATTTTTTAACAAAGTCAAATACACTTGACTGACAAGCAGAATCAGAAGGCTCAACGAACTCTCGCGCGATTTTAAGACGCTACGGCCAGACGTCACAGGTTGCCATAGCAGCCATCCCCCGGAGTGGAAAAGAGGGGTGGTACGAGGGGCGGATCGCTGCTGCTGCTGCTGCTGCGGAGGACCGCGGACGGTGTCCTCTTGCAGGTCTGACTTCTGCCAAAATGAGCGGGCTGGATGAGGGCGACAGCCTCCCTATCGCTAAAAGCTGCGGCCCCGCTACTCCCGACCATGCCCCGGGACATCAGGACCTCGAGCAGTGTCAGGGCGAGGAAACCGAGGCGACCTCGGTGATGGCGGACACAGGTGAGGGCGGCTTGGAGACTGCCGCAGAGGGAGGCGCAGCCCAGGACTCCGCGGGCTGTGGCCTTGCGTTCCGCATTCGAGTTGCTGGGATTCGCGGCCGCGTAGCCACCAAAGCGGGCCAGAAAGAGGCTCCGGCTTCCACGGAGGGCCTGGAAGCAGCCTCTGCCTCCACCTCGGTGGGAGCCGACAATAGCCAGGAAAATGGCTGTCAGCGTAGAGAGCTGCGCAGCCCTGCAATCGAGAAGGCTCTAGAAGCCTGTGGCGCAGGGAGCTTGGGGGCTCAGATGTTGCCTAGAGCGAAGGCCAAGGAAATGACGACGAAAAAGTGCGCTGTTTCTGCGGCAGGGGAAAAGGAGGGAGTAACAGAGGCGGTGGTGGAGGGAAAGAAGGTGATGCAGAAGGAAAAAAAGGTGGTAGGAGGCGCGAAAGAGGAGACTCGGGCCAGAGCCCCGAAGATCAATAACTGCATGGATTCGCTGGAGGCCATCGATCAGGAACTGTCAAATGTAAATGCCCAGGCTGACAGAGCTTTCCTTCAGCTGGAGCGCAAGTTTGGCCGTATGCGGAGGCTCCATATGCAGCGCAGAAGTTTCATTATCCAGAATATCCCAGGTTTCTGGGTCACTGCCTTTCGCAACCACCCGCAGCTGTCACCTATGATCAGTGGCCAAGATGAAGACATGATGAGGTACATGATCAATTTGGAAGTGGAGGAGCTTAAACACCCCAGAGCAGGCTGTAAATTCAAGTTCATCTTTCAGAGCAACCCCTACTTTCGAAACGAGGGGCTTGTCAAGGAGTATGAGCGCAGATCCTCTGGCCGGGTGGTGTCTCTTTCCACTCCAATTCGCTGGCACAGGGGCCAAGACCCCCAGTCCCATATCCATAGGAACCGGGAAGGCAACACTATTTCCAGTTTCTTCAATTGGTTCTCAGACCACAGCCTCTTAGAATTCGACAGGATTGCCGAGATTATCAAATCAGAACTGTGGCCCAATCCCCTCCAATACTACCTGATGGGCGATGGGCCCCGCAGAGGATTTCGAGACCCAGCAAGGCAGCCAGTGGAGAGCTCCAGGACCTTCAGGTTCCAGTCCGGCTAGCTCCTGCCCCGTGTGAGAAGCTCTGCACAAGTTTCCCTACCACCCACCTCCTCTCAGACCCGTGCTTAGCCAGCAGCATGCTGTCTTCCCTGTACTTCCTCTTCACACTGGATTGTTTTGTCCCTTGATGCTTCTAAATTCTCAAAACTCAGTGGCAAGATAGTTGCTTATATGCCAATGCTCTCCTTCGTCTGGGCCTTCCTGCTCTTCTGCATCCTGTTCCACTGTTCCAAGTGCATGGCCTTCCACTGCTTCTGTGCCAAGCACATAATACTGCAGATACCCACTGCCTTTTTTTGCATGCTCTGGGCCCTGTCTGACTATAGCCTTCTCCCAGTTTTTAAAGTGGTTGTCTACCACGAAAAAGCTTGATATACCTTTGCAGCTACTTAGCTGGGCTTCATACTTTGTGCTGACTGTCGTCCTGATACCCATGTACTCTTGGCCAAATCTTTGAGTTTCACTGCTGCAAGATGAAGCTGATAGAGATGATGCCAGCCATCACCTAAACTGAACATTCCAGGCTACCAGTAACTGGTTTTCAACTGTCTTCCTGGGTCCGTGCCATCTACCTGCTGGTTATTTTGCAGAATAAGCAGCTGATGGGTGGGTGATTACTAGGCATGAATGAGGTAACGTGTTCTGTGTTATGTTGATCTTATGCCTTTAGTCACTCTGCGTTGTGACCCTGTGGTGGTGAGTATGAAGCCCTGTGATACTGCCCACCCACACCTGCTCTCAGCCTTCTGGATGAGATTTGCACAGGCACCATTCACTGCCTCTTTAGGAACTATCTGGAGACTTAAGCTCCTGGGTAGCACACAGGAATCATCCCCTGCCCCACCTCCACCCCCCCACCCCCTGCTTGCCAAATGGTTACCTGGAAACTGCTTGGCTGTTGGGCAGTCATAATATCACAGTACCTAAAGCAAAGCTGGTGGGAGGGCCTTTTGAGCAGTTAGCCTTTTTGAGCTCAAGCCAACAAACCACCATTAATCTAGGTGTCCCCCTTCTGCACCCATTTTAAACATGACAAAGTTGCCAGGATGGGGGCACCAAGGAAGAGGTATTTCTGGCCTGTGGGGCCTGTTACTTATCTTTCTCTCACTTTCCTGCTTTCCTCCTTTTCTCTTCCTCCTTCTCACAAACAGTTGCAGCTGAGAAGACAAAATTGGCAGAGCAGGCTTTTGGTTTACTTTGCTTTCCCTTTGATTGTGTCCAGGAGAAAAGATGCTGTGCATTGGGCTCCAGCTTTCTTACTGCCCTCTTTGCCCTGGTGTGTCCACCCCACTTCCTTTAGTAAAGTCTAAACATTTCAAAGAGAACCCTGTAGGGTGACTTGCCTGCTTCTGGACATTGTTCTTTGGGGCCCACTTTGACAGCCCTGTGCTCTTCCTTATGCATTTACCAAAACCTGTGTGTTTTCTTGAGCCTTAGCTTGAGAAGCTGAGGGGAGATCACAGAAGGCCTTCACGACAGACCCAGAGCAGGCTGTGATCCGAGGTGATAAAAACTGTTTCACTCCACCTTTCTAAGCTTGGATGTTTTTTGAGGGGCCTTGTACCACTTAGAAATAACCAAGGCAGCATTTTGAGGGTCACTCTTGTCCTCCGTACTGGTTTTCCCCCTGAATTCCCATGGGCCCGCATCCTACCACCCTGCCCTTCTTGGCTGTCAGTCTACAGCTTCTGCATTTCCTTCCCTGCTTCTGACCTAGTAAATGAGGGAACAGGCTGCAGTCTCCTTGTGGGAGCTGCCAAGACTCCCTCATTGGGGGTAACGGGGTGTGTGAAGTCTGCCCCGTAGGATGTCTGTACAGAGCCGTGGGGAGGGTGTCCTAGGCTGTAGAAACTGAAAGCTCAGGAAATCAAATGAGCTTGCTGTGGTTTGGGCTTGGGAAGGCAAACAGGATAGACGAACCCTGCAGGGTCAGCGGAAAAAGAGAGGCACCTGTGGTTTTCCCAGGAGAGGTGGGAGAATGAAAGCGTTTGATGCTTTAAGATGGTGCTTGCAGATGTTAGGTTTTCTCTCCAATTTTTCCTGACTCCTTGAATTCACCAGTAGCTTTTTGTACTCAAATACAAGTCTGAATGTTTGGTATTCTAGCATATGTGAACAATTAATGGTATATGCTCTTTATTTCACTGTGTTTGAGTAAAGTCCTGTTAATTCTTTTCTCCATATTTGCTTGCTGGCAAAATTGACATTTACAGCCTGCTGTTTGCTTGTAATTGAGAATGTGTGCAAAAATATCAAGCTTGTTTCCTGTGCAGTATGAAAACTTCTGTGACTACTCACAAATATATCAGCTTGTTCTGGTCTCTCTTCTTATATAGCTCTATTCTTAGAAATATAACTTGAATGGGATCTTTGAAATTGTGCAAATTGTTGCTGTCTTGTGAAAGTATTCTCAAACAGAAAAACATAACTTTGTCGTCTTGATATTTCTTGGTCTAGTAATAACTGTTGTACTAGATATCTTATGTTCCTAACTTGTAGAATTGTTCTGTTAAACTAAAGAAAGATAGTACTTGAGTCTTCTTCTGTGTGGTCAGAAGGAAAAATAAATCTGTTACTCTGCTGTGTTTCTTGTTTTCACCAGAAATAAAAATAAATAAAGCTCTGTCTGTTTTGTTTAGGCTAATAAATGGTTGGCAAATCACTAAAGTTATCAAGTTGTTACAGTATCGTGTTGAACCTTAAAAAAAGGCAATAGTGCACCTTCCAAGAATTTTTGCTTGGAACATGGTAGATAAGCCCAAATGCTTACTCATAAATGTATTTCCTGTACAGTTAGTATAGTTTTTGGTGGTAATTGAGCCACTGTGTATTGATTTTTGTCACTTACCTAAAATAGTATTTTCAGTGGAAAACTGCTCTCTATGCACAGTCATTTTTTTTTTTTTCTTTAACTTAGGTCTATGTTAACTATGTCCCATCTTTGGCTCATTCTTTACTTGATGAACTTAAGATAGACTTTTGGAAGAATTGATCATTGGATATTCTCTAAGTACTACTTAAATTCTTTTCCTACAATAGTGTGGTGCTATTGAAAGAAAAAAAAATGACCAATATAATGTCTAGAAGCAAACGATACCAGACATCACAGTGTCAGTTACCAGTAATGTTTTGCTTTTCAGCATCTATTACATGAAGGTTTGGGAGACATCTGCATTCTCTGAAGCAGAGAGAGCAATGAATACTCTAAGGTCTGCATAAATGAATCACTGAATATTTTTAGCCGTCTAAACAAAATTTTGACATAAATGGCCCCAAATTACTGATGTGAATTAGAGATTGTTGATTAAACCTACAGGTAAACCAGACTGGCTGACTCTTGATGCATTTCTTATTTGCAAGCTCTATTTGCTGAAGTGTAATTTTTCTAGGCCTGGAGAACTTTTAAGTATTAGCAAAGTTTTCCTTTATAATTTTTATACTCAACTTCCCCGTACTATGTTCATTTTACCTTTTCAATTCAGTGATTAATTTCTGCACTGTCAACCATCTGTTTTAAGCATTATCTTCTTATCCTATCCTGGATATAATCAGAAAATGTCATTTTTGCTGGTTTATTATCAGCTTCAGTCTAATCAAGAGTATTAGTTTTTCTAGTAGGTTGGTGCTACTCATTTGTCACAGATTAACATGGTTTCTGTTTTTTGTCCAATAAAATTAGACTCAGCATTTTCTTGGATTCACTTACTACACAGTTGGTTAACTCAAATAACCCTGCTCCATTTCTTTGCATTGCCTTTTTGTTTTTATTCCTCTGTTCTGGAACCAAAAGTCTTAGATCTCCAAACCAGTTAAGAGTTTCTCTCATCCTTTTCTCCAAGGAAGTATGACCATTGTGGTCTGCTCTGGCCACATTACCCTTTGAGTACTTCATAATTTTCTTGGTCCCTATATTAATAGAATATTATTGGGCATCCTTTTCTATTTTTCTGGATATTTAGCTTAGGCCAGATACACACAAGGTTTTCTCTGACCTTCCTTATTCAGGCCGGCTCCTCTTCCACGTCACTCTGGCTGCTGCTTTTGCTTCTGCTTTACACATGACTCATGTTTCCTTACATCAGTAGTTTTCATCATTAAAAACAATCCCCCCAAAATGACCAGTATTCCTAATTATTGAGTTCCTGGTCTCATAAGAGTTAAAATTTAAGCCTTCAGCATCTGATTTTGCATCAGATACACATTCCTTGGTTTGACAGTCCAGAGATCAAACAGCAGGTACTTAACATGTGTGTCCTTAGGTTACTGTCATAATTCTGAAAGTTTTACTATTCCCTTTTAAGTAGTTGAGAAAACAGCTCAGAAAATTGAACTAAATTGCCTAAGATGCAAATCACAAACTTAAATTGTTTGATTTCAAGCCTAGGGTACCTTCCACTATATCACAGACATCTGTATTAAATTCAGCATAAAAAACAACAACCCTATTATGTGAGTATTAAATTGAAGGTTATTCTTAACCCATTCATGATGGTCTTTGAAGAGATTTTATCACTTATTTTAATTAAGATTCCATAGATTAAAACACTTCTGAATTTACATATGTAGTCATCATGTTTCGTGCATAAATGAAATTAACAGTTCACTTCATCAAAGGGAATAAGTGCAACAAAAGGACTATTATAACAAATTTTTAAAATTGTGTACTGTATTTATTTCTGCTGTATAGCAATGTGACTCAGTTATATATACACATCCTTTTTTTATATTATTTCCATTATGGTTTATCACAGGATATTGAATATAGTTCCTTGTGCTGAATAGTAGGACTTTGTTGCTAATTCATTCTATGTATAATTTGCAACCCCATCTCCCACTGTATCCCTCTAACACATCCCCATCTCTTGGCAATTGCGTATCTGTTTTCCATGTTTGTGGGTTTTGTAGGTAAGTTCATTTCTGTCATATTTTAGATTCCACATATAAGTGATATGATAGTTGTCTTTCTGATTTACTTCATTTAGGATTATAATCTCTGGTTGCATCCGTGTTGATGCAAATGACATTTTTTTTTAATGACTGAGTAGTATTCCATTGTGTGTATATATACACACCATATCTTCTTTATTCTTTGATCTGTTGATGGGTACTTAGGTTATTTCCAGGTCTTGTGAACACAGGGGTGTGTGCATCTTTTTGAATTATAGTTTTGTCTAGATATATACCTAGGAGTGGGATTGCTGTACCATATGGCAGTTCTGTTTTTAGTTTTTTTGAGGAACCTCCATACTGTTTTCTGTAGTGGCTGCACCAACTTACATTCCTGTGAACAGTGTCAGAGGGTTCCCTTTTCTCTACAGTCTCCAGCATGTTTGTAGACTTTAATGATGTCCATTCCTACCAATGTGAGGTAATAATTCATTGTAGTTTTTATTTGCATTTCTCTAATAATTACCAATGTTGAGCATTTTTCCATGTGCCTATTGGTCATCTGTATTTCTTTGGGAAAATGTCTATTTAGTTCTGCCTATTTTTCAATTGGGTTGGGTCTTTGTTGTTGCAACTGTTGTGTGTATTTTGAAGATTAAGTCCTTGTCAGTCTGATCATTTGCAAATACTTTTTTCCCATTCTGTAGAATTGTGTTTTTGTTTTGCTTATGATTTCCTTTGCTGTGCAAAAGCTTGTATGTTTGATTAGGTCCCATTTGTTTTTTATTTCCATTGCCTTAGAATAACCCAAGAAAACACTGGTATGGTTTATGTCAGAATGTTTTGCCTGTATTCTTTTAGTTTTATTGTGTCATATGTTTGTCATTTTGAGTTTGTGTCTGGTGTGAAGAGGGTGTGTTCTAACATCATTGATTACATGTGGCTATCTAACTTTCCCATCAACCCTTGCTGAAGAGACTGTGTTTTTGCCCGTTGTGTATTCCTGCCTCCTTTGTCAAAGATTTATTGACCTTAGATGTGTAGATTTCTGGGCTACCTATATTCTGCTTCACTGCTCCATATGTGTGCCACAATGCTACAAAGCTACTGTAATCAAAACAACAGTATAAATAGTGTGATAGCATGCTGTTTTGATTACAGAAGCTTTGTAGTATTGTCTGACATCTGGGAGGCTTATGCCTCCTGCTTTGTTCTTTTTATTCAGGATTGCTTTGGCAACTCTGGGTCTTTTATGGTTTCATATAACCTTTAGGATTATTCTAGTTCTCTGGAAAGTGTCATGGGTAACTTGACAGGGATCACATTAAATCTGTAGATTGCTTTGGGTAGTATGACCCTTTCAGCAATATTTTTTCAACCCAAGAGCATGGAATGTATTTCCATTTCTGTGAATTGTCAATTTTCTTAATGTTTTATAACTCTCAGCTTATGTCTTTCACCTTGTCAGATTTATTCATGTTTTTTTTTTGATGTGATTTTAAAGGGGATTGTTTACATTCCCTGTTAGTATTAAGAAATGCAACCAATTTCTATGTTAACCTTGTAGCTTGATACTTTGCTGAATTAATTTATCAGCTCCTGTAGTTTTGTGTGGAGTCTTTAGGGTTTCCAGTATATAGTAGTCCAATGTATAAAAGACTCTATAGTAATACAGTCATCCGTATGTAATGAGTTTTACTTCTTCCCTACCAATTTGAAAACATTTTATTTTCTTGTCTGATTACTGTTCCTAGGACTTCCAATACTGTGTTGAATATAAATAGTGAGTGGACATCCTTCCCTGATTCCAGATTTTAGTGGGAAAGCTTTTGGTTTTTCACATTATATTGGTTTTAAGTTGGTAATAAGTAGCTTTTATTATGTTGAGATATATCCCCTCTATACCCACTTTATTAAAGAGTTTTAATCATGAGTGGATGCTGAATTTTATCAAATGCTTTTTCTGCATCTGTTAAGATGATCATGTGGTTTTTGTCTTTTGTTGATGTGGTATATCATATTGATTGTTTTATATATGTTGAGCCATCCTTGTGACCCTAGAATGAATCCAACTTGGCTGAAGCATATGATCTTTTTTCTGTTGTTGGATTTGGTTTGCTAATATTTTGTTGAGAATTTTTGCATCTATATTTGTCAAAGATATTATCTTATAATTTTCATTTTTGGTAGTGTCTTTGTCTGTTTTTGGTATTGGGTGATGGTGGCTTCATAGGCCTGTGTACTAATACTAAACTTAAGTCCTCTGTCCATTTACACAATTTTCTTGCTTTTCCACTTCATGTAACTTTATTAACGAATATACAGCTTTTCTTCTCTAATATCTTCTTTAAAAATATTGATGATTATTTTTCTGGAACTTTTTAGAAATAATAATTTTAAAAGTTTAATTACAATTCAACAGAAGATCATTCATTAGAAGCACTGACTGCTCTGCTAGTAAAGTGGGAGGAAACTTGGATATCAACTTGAATTTTCTCTTTTGACAAGATGGAAAAAACTGAAAGGTCAGGGTTCAGATTTCTTAGGTACTGATAAGAGGAGCACCAGAACTTCTGATGTGAATGAATTTCTTCTGCTCCTCAGTGGCTAAAAGAATGAAATTAACTTATTTGGAGGGTCTCATTTTTCATATTAACAATAGCAGTTTAGAAGTGTTAAAGATGCATTATTATTTGCCACTGACAAAATAAACATGCATAAGGAAAAATAGCTTTATTTTTAAAAGAAATCAAAGGTCTACATGAAAGTATACATGAAAACAGCATCTTTCACTTGAGCCCTAAGCTTGATTGTACATGCTCTTTATTATATTCCAATGAGATTTTGGAAGTCAATTTCAAAGACATTAACATTTATTTACAGATATTGAAGAAAGCTACTGGCTTTGAGAGAAAAAAATTCAGTAACTGTTTACCTACCCTGAGATATTCAATCCCACAATATATTTGGGATTATTTGAGCATTTAAAAATTTAACAAAATATTTATCTTTTCATTGCATCTATCAACATGTTAAACTCTTGGCTACAAACCAAGTAAAATGATGGTGACCAGTGTTTTCTGATTCTATCCATAATGGACAGAGTGAAATTACAGCATAAAGAGTAGCCAGGAATTTATACTGTAAACATTATCTGGGTTCAAACATCTTGCAACAAACCGCTACTAATATGACTACATGTAGCACATAGAACACAATAATCCTGGACTGCAGTAAATCTATAAAACCTTTAAAAAATAATTCTTTTCAACCTCTTTTTTCATTATCACTGCCCCGTGCCCTAGAAGAAAAAATATATTTAATAAATTTAGCTTTAAATTACATTTCTCTCTAATGAGAGAAATACTAAGGAATAAGATTTTATTGTGTAGAGATATGGAGAACCATAATCCACTGCGTTAAGATTTTTTTATACCAAGAACCAATTTTTGCCCCTCTGAGAATACATGACTTAAAGTGAATGAAAAGTGAAGTAGACACTAGGGAGGAAAATGAAGAAAACAGGGAGGGAAAAAAACAAACCCTAATGATTAATACTTTGAGGCTGAAATAGTTGGCTTCTTCTATCACCCAGGTCCCATCATGGCTGCATGGTCTCAGAAGACATCATGTCTATCTCCTTGTTTTGGAAACCAGGAAAACAGCATAAAATCTGATAGTTTGGAATAATAATTTAATCTTACTAGACTTGGTGTTTTTGACTATAAATTGAAACAACAGGTGTAGATCAGTTATTCTCAATTTTGGCTGCATTTTCCTGGGACATATTAAAGATTTCAGTGTTTATCTGTATCCCCAGACCAATTAAACCAATGTCTGGAGGTTATAGTCTAGCCACTGGTTCTTAAACTTTAGTGTGAGTCATACTATAATTAAACACAGATTGCTGGGTCACAGTCCCAGATTTTCTGATTCTGTAGGTCTAGGATGGGGTGTGCAAATTTACATTTCTATCAAGTTTGCAAGTGCGGCTATGCTAGTGGTTTGGGGACCACACTTTGAGGGCCACAGGTCTAGGTAAATGTGTAAATATGCATGTGTACATTTATGTATGTATGTGTATGTGTATATATAGCCCCAGGTAATTCTAATTTCAGAACTACTAGTATAGAAAATATTAATAAGATTCTTTTCAACTCTAAGATACTGAGATTTTAACATAATGAGTGTTGTTGGGTATCAAGATAATCTCTATAGAAAGGAGACCTATGGAAAACATACCAATTTCTTGGTCACGTTTCATTAATAATTTTGTTTCTATAAAGCATTTTACAGTAGTTTTTGAAAATGAACATTTTTACAGTACATTTGCTGCATATACTGTTTTTCACTTCATTTTTTGGTAAAGATCATTTATTTGGCTGTCAGTTTTCCAGCATTTGATAAGACCAATGGAGGGTTTGGATAATAGCCTGCTGTTTTTGAATTATTTGAAGAGAACGTTGTAAATTTGTAGTCCAGGGGTAATTCTGAAAAGAAAAGAATAATTATTCTGCAGATCTCAGAAGGCCTTTGATAAATGTAAACAAATCAATATTTGACATTTATAATAAAACATTTTTTAGAGTTTCATAATTTTAATATTTCTTTTGTCACCAGGATAGGTTGCACCTGGAATGAACAGTGTAGATGTCTTTTCCTATACAATGTACAGTAATATTTAAGTCAAATTACATTTAGAGATATTGCAAATTATATTCAGAGCTCTAACTAGTGAGTATAGCCCTGAACAGTAAAAGAGTTATGAACAATAATCTTTGAATGCTTAGCTAAATAATTCCAATATGCACAATATGACAACTTTTTCCATATGATAAGCATCGTGTGTACACACAGCCATAAGAGGAATGGGTGGAGAGAACATAAAATTCATACTTTCTCAGTGGTGGGACACTGTGTCATTTTCATATAAATATCTCAAAAGCTAGCCTTCAGATATATTCTTCCTAAGTTTCTTCAAAGAACCATTACCAGAAATATTACAAGTGAAACATTAAGACCTATGTCATGTAATGATATTCATTCCACATGCAGATACTGGTTAGTAATCCTTATTTCACAAATTTTACAGGTAAAACATGATTTGGTAGTACTGAGTGTTCCGAAAATGATACTAAAATAAAAATTGTATTTTAAATGCCAGTGAGAATCATTAAGACTCAAACAGTTAATCCTTATGAGGAAAAAACTAGTGCTGAAAATTGTGAAGAAGGAACACTGCCTTTCTGAGGTCAGAGAAAACTAAGATTACTATGAACAGAAAAACATTCAATATTTTTCAGTATTAGTGAATTTCACTGGTCTTCACTACTTCAAGTTAGCTGGAGTGTATTTTCAGCCATTAAAAAGGCTCATTAAAAAGCACTGGAAATAATTGATAAAACTGAGTTTCAAAAATAGTGCACCTGAGGTTCTGGATTTCTCGTAAGCCACCAAAATGATACAGGCTAAGAACTGACCCAACAACCTCTTCCTCTGTCTTTCCTATACACTTCCTAAAGTAAAGGTAGCTATTATTAAAAGGTTAAAATGATTATATTATCAAAATGCTTATAAAGCAACCATTGCAGTAATATATATTGCAAACATTTATAACATCTATAAAAATTGCTTCTAAGAAAATTCTGAAAGAGAGGGGGATACCAGACCACCTGCCCTGCGTCTTAAGAAACCGGTATGCAGGTCAGGAAGCAACAGTTAGAACTGCTCATGGAACAACAGACTGGTTCCAAATAGGAAAAGGAGTACGTCAAGGCTGTACATTGTCACCCTGCCTATTTAACTTATATGCAGAGTATATCATGAGAAACTCTGGGCTGGAGGAAGCACAAGCTGGAATCAAGATTGCTGGGAGAAATATCAATAATCTCAGATATGCAGATGACACCACCCTTATGGCAGAAAGTGAAGAGGGAACTAAAAAGCCTCTTGATGAAAGTGAAAGAGGAGAGTGCGAAAGTTGGCTTAAAGCTCAACATTCAGAAAACTAAGATCATGGCATCTGGTCCCATCACTTCATGGCAAATAGATGGGAAAACAATGCAAACAGTGACAGACTTTATTTCTTGGGGCTCCAAAATCACTGCAGATGGTGACTGCAGCCATGAAATTAAAAGATGCTTACTCCTTGGAAGGAAAGTTACGACCAACCTAGACAGCATATTAAAAAGCAGAGACATTACTCTGTTAACAAAAGTCCATCTCGTCAAGGCTATCGTTTTCCCAGTCGTCATGTGTAGATGTGAGAGTTGGACAATAAAGAAAGCTGAGCGCTGAAGAATTGATGCTTTTGAACTGTGGTGTTGGAGAAGACTCTTGAGAGTCCCTTGGACTGCAAGGACATCCTACCAGTCCATCCTAAAGGAGATGGGTCCTGGGTGTTCATTGCAAGGACTGATGTTGAAGCTGAAACTCCAATACTTTGGCCACCTGATGCGAACAGCAGACTCATTGGAAAAGACCCTGATGCTGGGCAGGAGAAGGGGACGACAGAGGATGAGATGGTTGGATGGCATCACCGACTCAATGGACATGGGTTTGGGTGGACTCCGGGAGTTGGTGATGGACAGGAAGGCCTGGCATGCTGCGGTTCATGGGGTCACAAAAAGTCAGACACGACTGAGTGACTGAACTGACTGAAGCATTTAAATGTCAATGAGAGAATCACATCTAACAGAATATGGACGAATAAGGGAACTTTCCCTGGTGACTCAGATGGTAAAGAATTCGCCTGCAATGCAAGAAACCTTGGTTCGATCCCTGGGTCAGGAAGATCCCCTGGAGAAGGGAATAGCTACTCACTCCAGTATTTTTGCCTGGAGAAGTCCATGGACGGAGAAGCCTGGTGGGCTACAATCCATGGGGTCGCCAAGAGTCAGACACGACTAAGCATGCAAAGAAACATTACATGAATTCAGAAAAGATTTCAAGCAACAATGGGGACTATCAGGTTTTTCATTCCCTATCTCCTTTAAAACAGAAATTTTATTCTGTCTTCCAGGTAGCACAGGAAGCAGAAAGTCTACTAAGGTTAAGAAACTGTGTATGGAGTAGCCAAACTGAGGTGAGATGACTCTTCTGTTAAAAACAAGAATGTCCAGATTGGGGATTCACCAAGAGGGAGATATTTGCGTCCCTCTTAGAAAAATCACTGTTGGGTGCTGTTTGGAAGAAAAGAGAATGGTAGACAACCAAATTCTTATTTACCACAGTAACTTTCTATTAAACTGTGTACTGAACATACTAAAATACCAACCACATTATCTAATAATTACATGAACTGAACCAAAATGAATATTTTTAAACAGTAAGTTCAGTGTAAAATAATGAAACACAGACAGAAATACAACAACTCTTGTGATACTTTTTTAAAAAAGATATTGCCAGGATAACATTTATATAAAGATTTTAAAAGCCATGACCATCATACTGTTTTTCTTTCAGCCATTTTTTTTAACTTGGAGGTAGATTACACAGTACTATCCAAATTTACTGAATATGTTACTGAAATAATTTCAAGTTCTGAGTGAGAGGATTTCCTTGTGAGAATGTGATCATAAGCACTGAGTGCTAAGTTAAAAGAGAAACTAATACTTTGCTTTTTGAGGAAATGTCTTAGACATCAAAATCAATACTGCATATAATATACCAACTCTCATTCTTTCTCTGCAAAAAAAATCTACTTGTTTAGCTTTGTTTGACTACTGGTGAGTCTAACTAAGTATTTTTTCCTAAAAAAAGTTAGAAGACAAAGGCTCTGCCAAGTTCTTTTTCAGGGTGCTGAGGAGGAAGACTTTGGGGAAAGGAAAATGGGAGACACACTGATGTTATTATTGCTTCTTTAAGGAGAAGTGATTACCCGAGAAGATAGGGGATTATTTTCCCATTTTTTTTGAGGAACATTTAAATCCTACAATAATGGAGAGTCACTTTTCTTTAAGTCTCTTACTCTTTCAGAACCATATCCCACTGAACAGTTTTTAGAATTCAAGTACTTTAGAATAATTCACTGACTTCCATTATCACAAAATCCTACTCTCACTATAAATTTGAATCACTTTAAAGGAAAGAAAGTGAAATATAAAAACTGAAAATGACAGTATAATTCTAGGCCAGTCCCTCTCTTCATGTTACAAGGTCCATTTCTTCAATAAGAAAATTGTATGTAAAAGAAAGAAACATATTCTTTAATTTTACATGCGTAAGCATGGAACAAAATGGAAAAAAAAAAAAAGCTTTTGAAACTAGTGAAAATGAGTATTTCAGCAAGAAAGATGTATTGACATACTGGATTTGGATACTGACGTAGAAGATGGACCTTTTGGAAGGCCACACATCTTAGTCATCACTATCATCCCACCAGTAGATATCAGATAAATATCTTGCTTTACTTTCTGTCACATCTGTCCTGTGAGGGTGGTATATTCCCAGTTTAAGGAAGAAGAATCTGAGATTCAAGGAAAACCACATCTGAACTGGAGGGGATACCACCTAGAAGAGCTGGATAAAATAAAAACATCAGAGTGAAGTCCTTGGAGAACCGAAGAGACCACTAAGACTCAGGACACACAGTTCCTGGGAACAAGCAGCAGTGAAGCGAGTCAACATCCTGCCACCTCTTCTCCCTTCAGGCACCTGAATTCTGGGTGGAGCGCGGCAGGGGCAGTTAGCAGCAGCAGGAAAACCAGAAGAGATTTTGGTAGTCTTGAGGGGCTACGGAGACAAAAAACTGAGGGCCTGGAGCCTGATAGAGAGGAAGGTGTGGAGAACTGAACTGTGGGCTCAAGCTGTCTGCCAAACTCTGCAAGGAAACTTTAGGAAACTAAGAAGCACGCAGAGACACATCCCTCTGTAATCTTGGTACTGAGTTTCTTGGTACTGAGAAAACAGGGAGGGATTAAGTTCTGACCTGAGAGAAGAGAGGGTGAATTTATCATTATGAAGAGAGGATGAAATTATTATGAAGTGATGCTCTTTCATGTTAATAATGGATTTTTTCCCCCTTCACATTAACAGAGCTAAATCTTAATTTTCTTTTGGTTACATTAACATGGTACTGGAGAAGGGGGTGGCAGAGGAAGAGATGGTTAGATAGCAATACCCACTCCATGGACATGAATCTGAGCAAACTCCAGGAAATAGTGCAAGAGAGGGAAGTCTGGCATGCTGCAGTCTATGGGGTTGCAAAGAGTCAGACACATCTTAGTGACTGAACGACAATAAACATGGTATTGTCTCTTTCCATCTTTTGATAGTCAAACTTTCTGCATCTTTTTCTCCCCATTTTTATTTTGAGTTTTAAAATTATTTTATATAATTAGATTGGTGTGTGTATCATTATAATTCTTTTCATAGTTCTTAATATCTTGTTATGTTAGAGATTATGATATGCATTTTTGGTTTAATAGCTCTCATCCATATATGTTAGAACTCTTTAACTCCAGCCATTCTACTATGAGATTTATATGCCCTTGGTGTCATGTCTTAAAATCCTTTCCTTATTCAAACCTCATAGGATTAAAAAAAATTGTTTCTAACTATAAATATTCACATATTTACAGTTCCAATTTATTCACATATCCTTTTGTTGCTATATATTCATTTATTCTTGTGTTTCCAGTCTTCCAACAGGGATCATTCTTACTTTTGCATGAGCAACAATACCCTTTAGTATCTTCCACAGTGCAGGTCTTCTGGAGATACACTTTCTCCATTTCTGTCTATAAATACTTTTTTTTATTATTTAATGATATTTTAATTAATTTATTTTTCATTTATTTTTATTAGCTGGAGGCTAATTACTTTACAATATTGTAGTGGTTTTTGCCATACATTGACATGAATCAGCCATGGATTCACATGTGTTCCCCATCCTGATTCCCCCTCCCACCTCCCTCCCCATCCCATCCCTCTGGGTCATCCCAGTGCACCAGCCCCGAGCACTTGTCTCATGCATCCAACCTGGACTGGCGACCTGTTTCACACTTGATAATATATATGTTTTGATGCTGTTCTCTCAGATCATCCCACCCTCACCTTCTCCCATAGAGTCCAAAAGTCTGTTCTATACATCTGTGTCTCTTCTTCTGTCTTGCATATAGGGTTATCGTTAGCATCTTTCTAAATTCCATATATATGCGTTAGTATACTGTATTGGTGTTTATCTTTCTGGCTTACTTCACTCTGATATTGGGTATAGAGTTCTATCAAGGGTGATAACCATTTTCTTCCAGCAATTTAAAGATATCACTCTCCTGTCTTTTGGCTTTTGTTTCTCACTCTTTTGAAATCATTCTATCTTTATTCTCTGACTGCTTTTAGTATTTCTTAATTATTTGGTCTTTAGCAGTTAACTTCAGGATTTCCTTTTATTTATTGTGTTTCAGTTCTTTGGGCTTCTTGAACCTTTGGCTTATTTTTTTTCATCATTTTTGGAAAGTCTATAGCTACTGCTTTTGGCTTATTCTCTCATCACCTAAAATTCTAATGACAGGAATCTTACTCCTCATTCTATCTCCGGTGTCTCTGCTTGTATCTCCCATGCCTTTTCCTCTTCAGGATTTATTATGGGTATTTTTTTTTTTTTGGCTGATTTTCCAGGATACCAGTGTACTTTTCCTGTGGCTACTCTTCTGTTAAACCCTTCCATTCAGTTCTTAATTTTGACTTTTTAATAAGAATTTCCAGTTTTTCCAAGTTTTAATATATCTACCAAATTTCTCATTCCTTTCTTTTCTATCTTGGAACTTGGTTACTTCTGTTAGGATAGTCTCATATCCTTGCAGACCTGGCTATTTTTCCATTATGTGCTGAACACTATATAAATTGTTTTTCTGAAATAATTTGAGTCCTAAAAGATGTTATCTGCCTCAAAAGAAGAATGATTTAAAGTTGAGTTTCAAAGAGTACATGAAAATGTAATGAGATGAAAGAAAATCTCAGTCACCAAAATCTCTATTAGAGAAAGCATTGTATTGGTCCTGGAGTGTCTGAATTAACCATTATTAGTCAAAGGTGAGGATCACCCACAGGGTGTAGATGCATGCTCAAGAAACAGGAATCACCTGCTAAGTTGTCCTGTATGACCAGGAAGTGATGGATTTAAAGTTCTCTTTGAAAAGAGAAGGAAGGATAAAGAGATCAGAGAAGGAAAATCCCACAAATGGCAAGAAAAGGAAGAACTGAGAACAGATGTACTGGATGGTTAAACCACAACCTCAAAGGCTTAAATAAAATATTACACACACACACACACACACACACACATAAAGCTGAGCTTCAATTCCTGTGACACACACACATACACACACACACACACACATAAAGCTGAGCTTCAATTCCTGTGACACACACACACACACACACACACACACACACACACAGCTGAGCTTCAATTCCTGTGAAAGCCTACTTCTAATTCATCCTTCAGGGTCTCAAGATGGATTGAGAGAGTCCACCAGGTCTATCCCTCCTTTGACAGGTCTTACCCTCCCCACTTTCTACCCCTGTACATTCATGAAACTACAAAAAAGCCATTCACTTCTTTGGGTGCCTTCTCTAGAATTAGCAAAGAGGAGGAGAAGCAGGCCCCAAAGTCAGCATCGCCCAACTGGGCCTCCTTAGTATCCTGTCCTTGTAACTTTCCCCTAGCTTTATCCTATGACTCCAGGCTGATTAAAAAAAATTGTGCAGCATTTGTAGTTGGTTCCAGCAGACAGATAGGTCCTAATTACCTCAACTACCATATCCATATGCTATCCAAGAGAAACCTACAAATGTCATGGGAAAATTTTCTTCTTTTAAAGAAAAAAATTTCACTGTTTGCAGATGACATGATACTGTACATGGAAAACCCTAAAGACTGTATGAGAAAATTACTAGAGCTAATTGGTGAATTTAGCAAAGTTGCAGAAAACAAAATCAATACACAGAAATCACTTGCCTTTCTATATACTAACAATGAAAAAAATCAAAGAGAAATTAAGGAATCAATCCCATTCACCACTGCAACAAAAAGAATCAAATATCTAGGAATAAACTTACCTAAGGAGACAAAAGAACTGTACACAGAAAATTATAAGACAATAATGAAAGAAATCAAAGATGACATAAACAGATGGAGAGATATTCCATGTTCCTGGGGAGGAAGAATCAATATTGTGAAAATGACTATACTACCAAATGCAATCTACAGATTCAATGCAATGCCTATCAAATTGCCAATGGCATTTTTCACAGAACTGGAACAAAAAATTTCACAATTCATATGGAAACACAAAAGACCTCGAATAGCCAAAGTTGCCTTGAGAAGAATGGAGCTGGAGGAATCAACTTTCCTGACTTCAGGTTATACTACAAAGCTGCAGTCATCAAGACAGGATGGTACTGGCACAAAAACAGAAATACAGACCAATGGAACAAGATAGAAAGCCCAGAAATAAATCCATGCACCTATGGGTACCTTATTTTTGACAAAGGAAGCGAGAATATAAGATGGGGCAAAGAAAGCCTCTTCAATAAATGGTGCTGGGAAAACTGGACAGCTACATGTAAAAGAATGAAATTAGAATATGTCCTAACACCATACACAAAGATAAACTCAAAATGGATTAAAGACATAAATGTAAGACCAGAAACTATAAAACTCTTAGAGGAAAACATAGGCAGAACACTTGATGCCATAAATCAAAGCAAGATCCTCTATGACCCACCTCCTAGAGTCATGGAAATAAAAAGAAAAGTAAACAAGTAGGACCTGATTACACTTAAAAGCTTTTGCACAGCAAAGAAAACTGTAAGCAAGGGGAAAAGAAAATCCCTGGAACGGGAGAAAATAACAGCAAATGAAACAACTGACAAAGAATTAACTTCCAAAATATACAAGCAGCTCATACAACTCAATACCAGAAAAACAAACACCCAATCAAAAAGTGGGAAAAAGCTCTAAACAGACATTTCTCCAAAGAAGACATACAGATGGCTAACAGACACATGAAAAGATGCTCAACATCGCTCATTGTTAGAGAAATGCAAATCAAAACTACAATGAGATATTACCTCACACCAGTCAGAATGGCCATCATCAAAAAGTCTACACACAATAAATGCTGGAGAGGGTGTGGAGAAAAGGGAACGCTCTTGCACTGTTGGTGGGAATGTAAACTGATACAGCCACTATGGAAGATGGTATGGAGACTCCTTAAAAAACTAGGAATAAAACCAACATATGACCCAGCAATCCCACTCCTAGGCATATACTCTGAGGAAACCAAAATTGCAAAAGACATGTATCCCATTGTTCATTGCAGCACTATTTACAATAGCTAGAACATGGAAGCAACCTAGATGTCCATTGACTAATGAATGGATAAAGAAGTTGTGGTCCATATACACAAAGGAATATTACTCAGCCATAAAGAAACACATTTGAGTCAGTTCTAATGACGTGGAAGAACCCAGAACCTATTACACAGAGTGAAGCAAGTCAGAAAGAGAAAGATAAATATCGTATTTTAAAGCATATACATGGAATCTAGAAAAATGGTACTGAAGAATTTGGAGAAAGAGACATAGAGAATAGATTTATAGACATGGTTAGAGGGGAGGAAAGGGTGAGATGTATGAAAAGAGTAACATGGAAACTTACATTACCGTACGTAAAACAGACAGCCAATAGGAATTTGCTGTATGGCTCAGGAAACAAACAGGGGCTCTGTATCAACCTAGAGGGGTGGGATGGGGAGGAGATGGGAGGGAGGTTCAAAAGCGGGGGGGATGTTTGTACACCTATGGCTGATTCATGTTGAGGTTTGACAGAAAACAACAAAATTCTGTAAAGCAATTATTCTTCAGTAAAAAAATAAAATTAAAAAAAAAAAAAAAGAATTTCAGCACTTCAGGTTATTACTGTCCAGTAACAAGGTCTACCTCCTGGAAGGTCATTTTAAAACTCTTCATGACTCGGTCCACAGTAACAGGTAAAGCTTTTTAAGTATTTTCCCTCTTACCTGCTATTGCTTCAATACTTGGAATTGCAATAGTGCTGTAAGCACTGATTCGCTTACAAGACCATGTATAAACCAAGGAATCTTCTGTATTTTCCAGTCCAGAAACTGAATCAACAAAAAAAGACCCCCATTTTTTAGATGATGTATTTAGAGGCTTTGCCTTTGATCCCTGAAACAAGAAACAGAGTAGTGAAACTGATTAATTAGTGTTCAACCTCATTTTTCCCACCACTAAGTAAATCAAAATAGAACAACTCTGCAGAAATTTCAGTTGTTTAGCCAGACTACAGAAAAAGTAAAACAAAGCTTAGTAGTCCTTTAAGGGCTTCCCCAGTGGCTAAGCAGTGAAGAGTCCCGCTGCCAATGCGGGAGACACAGGTTCAATCCCTGGGTCAGGATGATCCCCTAAAGAAGGAAATGGTAACCCACTCCAGTACTCTTGCCTGGGAAGTCCCATGGACAGAAGCCTGGTGGACTACAGTCCACGAGGTTGCAAAGAGTCAGACACAACTGAACAACAACAAAGTAGTCCTCTGAAGTACTCTCTTCTGGCTTTGCCTGGGAACGCGTTTCTCAGCCTTGGGATCTGGTTTGGATGCCACCTAGGATGTTTTCCTTGACTTTCCACACTTAGGTGAGATTAGGTCTCCTCCTCCATTTTCTCACACTCTTGAGTTTATTCCTAATACAGTACTTTTCAAACCATCTTGCAATTATCATACTATTTACTTTTTGCCCTGGGCAGATTATGAACAATGTAAGGTTAAGAACTATCTCATATATTAGTGTATCGCTAGGGCCTAGTGCCTAGGACATAGCAGGCACAGAAAAAATGTAGACTAAATAAAAGACTCATTCAAGAAATACTTCTCAGTGTTTTATAGATGTAGTATAAAATTAAGAATTAAAAAAAAATCCCATCACACCCATATAATTTGAATGATAAAATCTGTCATCCTTTCCGGATGAAAACTTTGTTTTAGAGCATCAGAGAGTTCCAACTATGCCTTTAGATTCATGATTCTTTGTGCTGGAACTCAATTTGTGAAGCAAGATGAAAACACATGTTTTTTCAGATGATGCTGTTTAGATGGTGTTTAGAAATCCCTTAGCAAGAATCTATTTGGATTTCATCAAAGATACTAAGAGCAGTATGGAATACAAATATCTATGCTGCTGTGTATACATTTAAGGTGTATTTAAATATAATTTCCCAAGGTGTAAAGAGAAGCTTATAGTGTAACTATTCTTTATTTGGTTCACTGTCTTTGTCTAATGAGTCTAAGAAGAGATGACTCTTATCGCACAGACTATATGCAGATAATGGTTCTGCCATCATTGAGTGGTAATCTAGGCTGCACGTTATTCCTCTGAAAAGAGGAAAGCAGACTTGTCTACCCTTTCTGGGTCAACGTATTACGGATGCTGTTACTGTCTAAATGTGCATGTCCTTCCAAAATTTGTATGTTGAAATTCTAATCCCCAAGATGGTGTAATAATGAGGTGAGGCCTTGAAGAGGTACTTAGGTCATGAAGGTGAAGCCCTCATGCATGTGATTAGTGTTCTTATAAAAGAGATCCCAGGAAACCCATTATGTAATGTTGTGTTTGTAATGAATTAGCAAGGAAAGGTCTATGGTAGAAGATGGAGCTACTGTTTACATAATGCTGAAGGAAACATCCCCACTGTGTCTTCACTTTCTTTCCAATTGTCTGTGCATTCTCAAATCATTGTGAAGAAACCGAATCTCCTTATTTCTCTTTAAGGGCAACTTCCTCCACAATCCCTCAAGTTAGAGGGTCCAACTCCTGGAAGGTTATTTTAAAACTCTTCTTAACTCAGTCCACAGAGCTATATAGCTCACAGAGTTTCCAGTGTCACAGTGAAGATTAAATGTTACTCAGTGGAGACCTTGTAGAAACCTGACTCCTTTATTCTAAGATAGTAGTCTTTATTTCTTAGAACACTTTTAGGTTTACAGATAATAGGCAGATAATATGGAGACTTCTTAAATACGTCGCCTCTGGTCCACCCCTAACACACTCTCTCCTGTTATTAACATTTTGTATTAATTAGTGTGTTATATTTGTTACAACTGTGCTCCATTTATTCATCCCCTTCCCCTCTGAGCCCTGGGGCATTCACTGGTCTCTTCCCTGTCCCTATAGTTCTGTCTTTTCCAGAATGGCATACAGTGGCATACAGGATGCAGCCTTTTCAGACCAGCTTCTTTCACCTTAACGTGCACTTTAGGTTCCTCCACGTTTTCCCATGGCTTGATCATTTCTATTGTTATTTTTTGATTTGATCTTTGGTTTTTGACTTTTTAGATTCCTCCCTTGCAATGAATTTAGAAGAATGCATAGTGCATTTTATTTTCTGATATTTCTTTTTTTGTTTTTTTTCTGCTTATTTTTGCTTTTATACACTACTTTCCCTTTCTAAATTGATGACATACTTTACTTTTCTTTCCCTCAAAGTTCATTGGGGGTGGCTCAGGAATAAGTTTAAGGGAGCTACCAATTCGGGAGTTAGACCCATGAAAAGAGAGCACAAGGGCTTTCATGGCTAAGCCAAAGAGAGAGAGTGTGCTACAGTGGCTCAGGATCTGGCTGCCCCGTCATCAGCCAAAGCACAGCCATGGTGCCACAGCCCTGGATGAAAGCACGGAGCCCAGACAGACAGATGGTCAATGGCATTATCTTGGCATCATTTAAAAACTATCCACAAAATCAACTGCAGAGTTGCGAGGGCATGAAGATCACAGTTAAGTGCCAACAGACTTCATTGCTCATGGCTGAAACAAGCACCTTCTAAGATACGACAAACATAAAGGTCTTTCTTTCAAGGAAAAAACTAAAGGAGACTCTTACCTCATATTTGCCTTTTTTCTCTTCAGGTTCTGATTCCTCAGGCTTCCTGTCTTTGTCCCCTCGGAGCTCTTCGAGAATAAGGACTGTCTCCCAATTACTATAATGACGGGCTGGGAAAATATCTGAATGCATGCTGTCACCAAAGTAAACAACCTGTAAGTCAGACAGCAAATTTTGTCTGAGACATGAGGATTGTGAAGGGGAGTGGTGTTCATTTTACAAAAGGCACAAGAAAATTCCTTAACAGCTATCAGAGTAAGTCATGTAAAAGCTACATAAACATCTTAAATTTCCTTGGATAACTTCACAAGTGACCATTGACTTGTTCCATTTGATTCATAGGGTGTCAGGTTTAAGAAGTTACACAATTCATTTGCATGCAGAAGAACAGCAGAAGATAAGTGAACTTAATTCAAATTTCTGAAATGAAAATGAAAGAACCCAAATGTTTACAGTTAAACCTGCCCCTGGAATTGAAGAGCTGGTGACATACTGGAGACAGCCTGTTATACAGGATTAGATAAGCAAGAACACTCACAACAGAACCAATTTACCAAAGTTTATGGGCCCCACCCACACCTGCTGAAACAGAGTCTCTGAGAGTGGGTGGGGCGGGACAGGTGGGCTCCAGGAAACTTCCTAGGTATTCTGAGGCAAAGCCCCACTGATCTAGTCCACACCTCTTAACTTACAGATGAGGAAACTAGGTTAAGAGCATATGAGCTAGAACCTCCAAGTCAGGAGCCCCCAGGGGGCTGGCTCACTGTGGGAGCCAGTGGATCAGGGCTCAGCAATGGACTGACCCATCCTTCTCATGGGGCTCGTGGCAACCATTTTTTAGAAGAAAGTGTCCTGCTATTAAAAATATACCAATGTCCAACATCAACAATATGACAGAATGTTAAAAGCTAATGTGTCTTTAGTCTGTAGTATAATCAGTTATTGCTGGTTTCACATATAAAAAAGGTCCTTGACGGGTAGTTAGCAGGATAACATTCCTCAGGTAACCCACACACTATTCTAGGTCTGTGTTCCTGCTTGGAATATTTGCTTTTCTTTGTGAGAGATAAAAATGTACATCAAAGGAAAGACTTATTTAAGCAGAAGAGGTGGGCAAGGAGGTTGGCAGACAGTTATGCAGAATGCATTTAGAGTTACGGCTTCAGTCAACAAAGGTTTCTCTCTCCGTGTGGGCCACAAGGACTCTACCTCAATGAGAAAATACCTTGGGTTCAGGTTTGCCAGTCATTTTCTTCAGAAGTTCATAAAGGTGGACAGCATTCCCTTGTGAGTACCAGCCAGGTTTATCCAGAGAAGGCAGGGCCTCCCGCTCTTCGTCCTTCTCTGAGAACACAGGTTAACAATCATATACGTTCTCATCAAGTGACAGCACTCAGCTGGACAGACCACACTTTGCATGGCTGAAGGACATGCATAAGAAGGAACCACGTGGGGATGGCGGCTACCATTCAGTCATCACCTATACATCATGAGCACTTCGTTGACATAAAGACATTATTTTTTAAAAGAATTTTTTAAGAGCAGTTTTAAGTTCACACAAAACTGTGAGGAAGGTACAGAGATATCCCATATACCCTCTGCCCTCACAAAGGCACAGCCTCTCCCATTACTGGTGATAATAAAATAGTCCAACATATAATAATGTAAGACGAATTTCTACATAACCTCAGTCATTTTGAACAAAGAATTCTAAAATCACAATTACAGATAATTAAAGCCACATCACAGCTAAAGGTCAAAAGATATTCAGGCCTATTTGGCTGACATTTCGGCAGCCATTTTTAAATTCTTTTATACAATCAAATGAAAATCCTACTATTCTCTAAAGAGTAGGTCAAAAACTGAGAGGGTAACAGGCAGGAAGGCCAGGGGTCTCCAAACAGAGGAAATAGGCTGCAAGTGTCAGACATTTTTCTCTCTCTTAAGCAGCAGGAGGAAAAGAGCCAGCGATTTTTTCTTCTTCTCTATACAAATTTAAAAGTAGGTTTCTCTTAAAATGCTATGTTGCCATGACACCTGGTTTCACCTGAAGCTAACTATTCTCAAACCTTGAGTTAACCAATCCATTTTTTCTTATGGAAATGTTTGTCTTAAGCTATGTTAGTGTACCCCAGACTCTGTCTTCAAGTTCCACCAAAAGGCTCAGAACCTACTTGACAAACCAGTATGTTATACTCAGATATTGTTCCCCTAATTTATGTAAACAAAACTATTTGTATGGTAATCTGCCCTTCTACAAGATTCAAGTCAATCATTTTATGGCCTGGGATGAATTATCTGGTGCCATTCGGAGTTTTAAGACATTCCTTTCTTTCATTAACAGACTGCTAGTGATTGTATAACATCCAGCTGAAGACTACCAGGGGGGTACTCTTTCTGTCCCCTTCTGATGCCTATGTCAGGAGCTTTCTCTATCTCCTTTATACTTTAATAAAACTTTATTACACAAAAGCTCTGAGCGATCCAGCCTCGTCTCTGACCCCGGGTTGAACTCGTCTCCCCTGGAGGCCAAGAATCCCAGTGTCTTATTGTTCGGCAACAACCTTTCAAAACTAGCCATGTTTAGCCTAACATTAAGAGTCTAACAATGTATGGCAAAAACCACTACAATACTGTAAAGTAATTAGCCTCCAACGAATAAAAATAAATGAAAAAAAAAAAAAGAGTCTACGAAGACTCAGCATATTCCTGGAGAAACATGGTGAAAACCAATTATTTCTCATGTCTGTCTGTCTTTACTTAGTACAGAATGTCTTGCCAAGTAAATAATGTGGGTTTGATGGCAACTGGAAAATGATTAACTTACACAATTATTTTTGAGAGCAAACCTACATTTGATATTTAGAGGCTCCCTGTGCAGGAAACATTGGGAAGGGAAGCTTTCTATTGCTTAATAAAAATATATAAATCTATAGAATCATCATTTCTCAGATACTGGGACTCAGTTATTAACAAAAAAGAGAAAATTTCTTCTTTATACAAAAACCAAAACAAAAAACTCACATTACACAAATATACCCCTTCCCTTCCCCGTTTTCAGCCCCCAGACTGGAAGCTGCTCGGCAGGGTCCTATCCATGCAGGGCAACGTGGAGGGCTTAGAAGCTCCATAACTGGGAAGCTGTGGGACTGAGCAGCAGACAGCCAAGGTGGCGTATGAAAGCATCGGAGCTGAAGAAGTATACACTCCAAGGGAGCAACTCAAGGAAGTTTCAAGCACCATCTTTATAAACCCAAATACAACACTTAAACATTTCTTCTCCTGGTCTATGGGAAGCAACACCTCCCTTTTAGGGTCTCCATGACAACGGCTGACATCAGTCCCTTGCAGCTGCCTCCCTGTGGGGCCCCCCGTTTATTCTGTGTCACCAGGCAGTCACTGCCACCCTTACCGGTGACCCGGTCTGTAATCCCATCCCAGGCATTCACCGATTTACTTATGTGTTTGCGTTTGTATCCTCGTGAGGGGAAAGGACACTTATCATCTCTTTAATTCCCTTCGTTGCATCTAACATGAAATTCTGCACATGGCTGTCAGCCAACAGGTTATTTATTAAGTCAATGAATAAATCTTAAAACAGGAGAGGAAAGACACAAACTGTTAACTCACCAAGTGTACGGAAAGGCCTCTGACTTGGTAAATGAGAGAAGAAACCAGGCTTCAATGCATTTGTAATCACAATGTCAAAAAGATCTTCAAAATCATTCCTAAAAAGCAATGATATGTTTCATAAGTTTATTTTAAGGAACTAGAAAAGGTCCATAAAAAACAGAACTTAATCTTTGCCTATTTGACCACAGCATCATTTCTTATTTTTAAAAAATAAGAAAGGAAATAGAAGGTGGTCGAGCACTAATTATCCAGACACCACCCTGAAGTATACACATAAGGGGGAAAAAAGCACATTAATTCACTAACTCTACATGTTAAGCTGACTTTCTCATTATGGCAACAGTTACAAATTCAACAGTTCTAACGTCTAAGTAGTCACACGCTGTTTTCAAGTTTAGGGCCTGAACTTTGTTTGAATTTATTAGCACCAAGAGTTATTAATAATTTTGTGTATCTCATGGGTCTTACAGAAAGCCAGCATTGTATTGAATCAGGAGACATCTTTCTGAGTGTTAAAAAATCAGGGTAGTCTTATAATATGGTTATTTTTAGATAATAATAAATATGTTTTTTTAGTCTGTATTTAATACTATACTAAGGATTATTTGAGACAGCAAAGGGAAGATAATTCTTGTTGCTGACAGACTCACTATTACATTGGGGAGATAATATTTACCCAACACTTTAGAATCCTACTATAGAGGAATTCAGATATGAAGAAAAATTCTGGTAACGTACACTAATGAAAAAAAATATTCCTGAGTATTTACTCTGAAGCATGGTCCCGGTACCAGGACACAAATGTCTCTTATAATAAAAGGCATTTACTTCCCAAGGCATCTGGGACTGCAGCCTTAATTCACTTCAAGGATCCCATCCCTTAATAAGAAAGCAGAAAACCACCAACAGACTGTAACTGTACCACAGGTCATTCTGAACCCACACGTGCTGAAAAACATGGGAATGAGGAAACCAAACCAGTCAGCAAGGGGTCAGTTTGGAGGCTAAATTTTGCTTCATACTTACAGCAGTTCAGTACAGTGTCTGATAAAATTTGAGGAAACATCAGGGCAAATCTAATAGCCGATTTCAGAATCTAGATATGACCATGTATATTCCCCATAAGGATGCCATAAATAAGTATTAATGCTTACTAAAATTTATCAACTACTTTGCCTAATACTTTAATCTGTATTATGCTATTTAAATTTCCCCAACACCTATGAGGTATTGCTGTTGTTCAGTAGCTAAGCCATGTCCGACTCTCTGTGACCCCATGGACTACAGCATGCCAGGCTTCCTTGTTCTTCACTGTCTCCTGGAGTTTGCTCACTGTCCCACATTTTAAGATGATGAAATGAAGGTTTAGAGAGGTTACAGAACCTACCCTAGGTCACAGAGTAAGTTGAGAGGCAGGGCTTGAGCCCACATCTGCCTTGAGTCTACATATTTGTGCTGTCTCGATGTTCATGGATGTCAACCCCACACCTGGATGGGTCAGTGGTGAAGTGCCTGGCTCCAGGGGAAAACGGCTGCAGTGGGGCTGTATTCCAGGTGATGTCAGGGAGCATAATCTATAACTCAGTGTTCCTCAAGAATCCAGCAGAGCTGAGACGCCAGAGACACGGAGGACTGCTTGAAGGATTTGTGGTCTGTCCACAATATTTTTCAGAAAATCTAAAGTCCATCAGCTATGAGCATACTGGGCCTGGCAATACTACTTTGCTAAAATGTACTTGGGGTATCTTGCTGTCAGCAGATGTTGAGGGCTGTTACGAGAAACAACCACGTGTCACTCAGTACTATTTAATATAATGTCATGGTTGAACACTTTTAAAAGAGCACTGGTCTAATCTGTTATCAGACCACTCACCACTTACCCAAGGATATATTCGCAGAGGAGTCTACAGTAATCACTGTGAGAACTAGTAATTAACATAAGGATTTTGCCAGCATTCTTTAGCTGTCGAAGCCACTTTTTTACTGATTCTGGACAAGTGTGTAAATATTTGCCTGGATCTCTTTTTATTTCTGGAAAATATATTCCACAGTTTTCTGAAAAATAAAAATATCACAGAGATTAAAAAAATTTTTTGATTCAATGTATTCTCAAATAAGTTCTTCTCTCTCAAATTATAAAATTAAAAGGATAAAAACTGTTCAAACAATCTAGCAACAATGCCACTACTAACTGCTTCTTAAGAATACTTATTGTTCTTTACTTAAAAACATGACTGAAAATGTCAGTTGAAAACATTTTCTGATTGTTTGACAAGTGTTAAAACAGATAACATAATAAACAAAATATATCAGCACTTTCAAATCAGAGAAAAACTTACTGTATTTGAAATGTCAATAAATATTCTTTCAATCAATAAACAAATACTTGCTGAATTCAGATAACAAACAAATACATTTTCAGATAATGCAGCAGGAACACATCTTTGGCATGAAGCAGTGGAGAAAGGAGCCGGGTTCTGTTTCAGATGGAATTGAGACTAGATGTCCTGGGTCTGTTACAGCCCTTGGGAGGCGCTGTGATATTAAATGGAAAAACAAGCCAGAAAAGGCAGGAAGGCAGCGCGATCGACAGGCAAAGTTGAAGAACCTGAGTCACGGAGCTGGCCCAGCTCTGTTCCTTTGGGTCTATAGAGTCCCGGGGGTGGCCCGAGGCTGCTGGTGCGAACGTTTCCAGAAGTCCTGGTCAGATGCACCAAGTGTTTGATATGGAGCCCTAGAAGTTATGTGTGCTTAGGCAGACAATTGCAGATTTGGCTGAAGTGCGATTAGATTCATGCAGCACTTTAGAGATACAGCTTTTGGGGCATGATAGCACTGGTAAGCACATAAAGAGAACCTGAGTTCTTACTTTCCTTAACTGCTAGAGAAAAGACACGTGCATAAACAAAACAAGAAGTGAAAGAGCTTGTGCTGAATGATAAAATTCTGCAACAGATATAGTCTATGTATCTGTAATTCTGTTCAGTGTCATGGCACTTAAAATAAGGGAAATGAAAAGTTTTACTTCAAGAATGTTAAGACAAGAAAGAACAGTCTCTAAGGGGGGGAGGACAACAAAAACAGAAATGGCACCAAATACTGTCATCTGACTGCCCAAATCCACTCTCCCTCTTCTTTGCTGGAGGGCATTCTAATTGTGTTGGCGGTTTCATCCTCCTGCGGGGCTGCTCAGAGAGGGTGGGTCTCTACCAGTCCAACCGAACAGGGTAATTCCTTCCCATGTCAAGTAAAACAACCCAATTTAGCAACAGCTTAACCATTAAGGATATCTACTATTTGCAACCTACAACATCTTTCTTCAGAAAGTAACACAATGTAAGAGTTATTCATAATCAGACCAAAGTATTACTTAACAAAAGAATGTTGTAAAATGAGAAAAACAGACGTCAGAGTGCCAGAACAACAAAAACAAACTTCATGCCCTCATATTCTGCCTTACAGAGAACATGTGTTTTTGGATCTCTTAATATCCCAGAAGCTATGTAATGGCCCTTGAAAAAATTAAAATATATCTTCTGTTTTTCAGGAATGAGAAGGTACTAGTAAGAAAGGAATAATATATTTAAATAGCTAAAAACAGAATAGTTTGATGAGTAATGATCAAAGCAATAGCAGAAGCTATGTTTCTCCCAGAATTTATCTGAGGCAGTCATATATAAGATTACTTCACCCAGAAAAACAAAGGCTTTTGTAGTAATATTATGGGCTGGATAACAAAAGATTTGTAGTATATAATGCTGAAGATACTTAAGCATCTGTATTCAGAAACAACTGCTGAGAAAAGGCTTTTTTTTCCTTAGCTTAGGTGTGCTCACCACACATAAGTGTGGTCAAAATGCCACCTAGTGGTCAAAATGTAAATTACTGTTAAAAATCTGTTACATTTCCAAATGAATTAAAAAAAATAAAACATATACATTTAAACAGAGCATTTTGAAATTCCTGCCTAGATTAATATTAGTTTTCCTTAGTAAGCCTAATCTAAAAGAGTGCAAACATAATAGTTTAGCTGGAGAAAACTGCTCCCCAAGGAAATAATGGAGATGTTCTTGCTTTGTTCACAAGCCAGAAAGAAATGAACTAAAAAAGACAAATCCTGTACAAATGGATATTTTATGGTAGACTATGGGTTTCTCTTCATCTAAAAGGTCACTAACCGTGGTTGGGGCAAATATTTTTCATCCTTGTAACCTCAAATCATTAAGGGAATAGGAGGTATGTTAATATAAATACACACTGATCTTTCAAAGTTTATTTTTACTGATGTGACTAACACATAACACTGTGTTAAGTTTAACGTGTACAATGTGTTGATCTGACATTTATACACTGCAGGAGATTATTACTGTATTTAGCTAATACCTCTATCATGTTGCACAATAGTTTCTTTTTATTTTTTCACGGTGAGAACAATTAAGGTCTAGTCTCTGAGCAATTTTGAAGCTTATAATTTAGTACTGTTGTCCATAATACATACCCATTATTTTTACTGAAATAGTCAAGCTATTAAACCAGAGGAATTTATGTTAAACATATTATGCTGGAATAATAACTGCCTATTAAATTATTTCCCTAAAGGCAGGGAGTCTGACTTTCAGTTTGACATTAAGCAATCATTTGATAAATGAATACTTAAATAAGTGGAGGGACAGACACAGGAACATTTATGTTTATTTAAAGTCAAAGTAATAAATGATTTGTAACATATAACCTATGACAAAAATTCTATTATTCATGTCCTATTAATGTCATCCTATCTAAAGTACCTTCCTTTCTATACCCCATTGATAAAAATAATCATGTTTATTTTATTTTTATAGTGAGAAATTTACACTGACTAGACAAGACAGGGAATCGAGACTGAGACCTAAGGTGGAAAGAAAGGAACGGTCTTGTTTGTTCTTCACTCACAAAGCAGCCTGTGTTTTCACTTAACCTCAAAAGAATTCTATTCCACTGCCATTTTACATAACTCATTTTCCTGGCCTTTCCACTCCTCTTCTATCCTTAGATGCTGATATTTTCTGTATCCCGAGGAAATTAAAAGTAAAAATTTTAAAAAGCTAGTTCTGAAGAATAAAGGTTTCACTCTCCTATATTAAAAATTCGGTATTAATGCAGTCATGGGAATAACAGCAAAGTGTTGCGACAGCCCTTCGGGCAGAGAAAATGACCTGCATGTAACCACTGTAATTCAGGACTGAGGGACCTCTCGTGGTAAAAAAAAATAAGTACAACTTGAATATTAAAAATGCTTTTTTAGTTTAATAGACAATTGTGCCACATCACGATTTCTATCATCATGGAATAAGTAAGCATTTTCCTTGTTAACTATATTGCCAGTGTTGGTGTGACGTGTGGTTCGTGTTCTCAAAGCTGCCGTGCAGGAGGATCAGAGATTCTGGAATGCCATCAGCTCCACCATCAGCCTCCAATTAAGGTCTGTTATCATTTCCATTGCAGAACATAATTTGGGAGCGACTGAAATATTTACAACCTTTGAGGTTATAGAAGAGCAGGCCAGTGAACAGCTAAAATGTTCAGCCATGAACTGTTTAAATATATTTGCAGTAAGGGATGATTCCATTTTCTGAAATACACATATACTATATAAATTTCTTTTGGCCAAGAGATACTGAAATAGTTTTTGAAGGATGAATGAGATAAACAATAGATTAAAAAATGTTCTAATTTTTTTTTTGTTTATAGAAGGCAAAAGATGAAACTAAAATTTAATATTAAAACAGATTTTCTGTTTATGGTCCCTATATGGGGCCTAAATGGTTTGCTTTTAATATTTGTAAATAAAGACATCTAGAATATCTAGATTGAGTATCTCTGTACTAAACATAATGCTTGGAAAAGGACAACAGGAATTGAGAAATGAAGGGTAAATTATTGAAAAACATAATCTAAAATTTACACGAACAGTGTTTGACTCCTACCTCTGTATCTGTGTCTTACCCCGCAGATTCGGATTTAATTGGTCTGGAGTGGTGACACTGATTTTTTTTTAAAGCTCCCCAAGTAATTTCAATGTACAAGTAGAATTAAGAATTATGGCTCTAAACAGAAGAACTAGAACTTTTGCTATTATTATCTGTATATTCTGCCTGCCTCATTGGAATCACTGGCTCTCAGACAGCAGGGACTTCTTAATTTTATAATATCTTGTGACTTAACATGAGCTATGTAACCTCATTGCTTACGTGTCTAAAACTCTGTGTTTTAAATTTAACTTATCTGGTGATCAGTGTCTGTTAAAGAAAAATAACATGTGCAGAAGAAGCAGAAGTCAAATGCTTCAAATCCATATTCAGTGCCATAACTGTTGAATAATATGCTTTTCCTCACAATACCTACAGAAGTTTTTTGTAGTGACCGAGTTGATGTTGGGCTTCCCTGATAGCTCAGCTGGTGAAGAATCTGCCTGCAATGAAGCGGACCCTGGTTCGATTCCTGAGTCAGGACGATCCCCTACAGAAAGGATAGGCTACCCACTCCAGTATTCTTGGGCTTCCAGTATTCTTTTTTTTTTGGCTTCCAGTATTCTTGAGCTAATGTTATCTATGCTATTATCTGGGAACCGAGATTTTATATTGAGATAGGAAAAAAAAAACCCAAATAAATGTCTTACACATGAGGTATAAGCATTATCTTCCTCTGTAGAATGCACTGTCCTCTCTCTGATGCTTTAGAAATGTTTGCCGCTTGTCTGAGGAGTATTTCCCAACACCCTCACCCAGTCATACCACCTCTGGACGTCATTCATCACACTGCATGATAATAAACACTTGTAATAAGTGTGTTTATGTATGTTTCTTTCTCCTGAGACTGAGACCTTTTAGGAAAATAACTCTTTACCTTGGTATTTACATTCTTGATATCAGGGAAACAGTAGAGGATGAATAATTGTTGAACTAAGTCTGTGTCGGGGGAGAGCTATCAAGTAAGATTTCTCAGGTGATCAGAGAAACCTGAGGCTGGCAAACCTCAGCCCGCAAGCTAAGAAAGGTATTTACTTAATATGGTTA